CGAATATTATTCGAATACATTTTTTAAAATTAAACGAATATACGAGTATATTCGAGTATATTCGATTCCAATCACTACCATGCAGAAAGCGTTCACATGATCACTCCAAAACTATAAATGTCTGAGGTCTCTGTTACCGGTTTTCCTTGCAAGATTTCAGAAGCAATATAAGAAACTCCATATACTTTGTTTGTCTCATCGATTCTATCAATTAAATATGGTTCGATATCAATATTTTCAAAAGAACCTTGTTTAACTTCAACCAATATATTTCCTCTATGAAGATTTCCATGAATTAATCCCTTTTCATAATAATTTGTAATGACTTGAAATATGCTCCAAAGCATTTCGACAATATCTTTCCAATAAAGTATTCCTTGAGTTTCATCAAGAAATGAATATAAGTCTCTATTTTCGTAGTATTCATAGTATTTCATAATTAGCATGTAATTTGAAGTAGGTTCTTTAGTTATTCCAAAAAAATTATCAAAACTCTTATATAAACAATGTTGATAATTATTTAGCTTCATTAAAAAATTTATTGAACCGAAATTTATTATTTGAAAATCTTGAAGTTTTAAACAAATACTAAATAAACATAACTTACTTGTTTCAAATAACTTTTACTTATATTTTGTGAATTATTAAGTCTCTTTAAAGCTACTTTCATAGGTCCTTTTCGTGTCTATTGCTCGGCATCTTCATCCCATTTATATTGAGGGCCTTCCATCCAAATTGCTGAATAAATTGTGCTAAAGTCCTCACCTTTGTTTATTTTTTCCACAAATTCAAACTGATCGAAATCAATATATTCCAAATAATCTACATTCGCAGTCGCATTTAATTGAGTATCTTTAATGAAATTATCAACATTAAGATTACCACTTGTCCAGTTTCTAAAATTTTCTTTAAAGGCATTGCATTCACAACCTATACACTATCTTGCGTTACTTTGTTTGTTTCCACAATCAAAGCATCTATCCGAAATAGCATCCATTTGTTGAGAAGGTGAGTTTAAATCTGAGTAATGTATAAAAATGGTCAATAACGTCTATCAAATTCTTGATTACATGACAAGAGTTGTTAATGTATATCAAAAATGTGACTTATATAAATAACTGCGCCACAAATCTAGTATGGAATTAATTGACTTGGAGGAAGCGCTACCAGACCGATTAATTCATTAGATTAAAAAACTTACATTATTTTTTGATTATATAGAAATCTAATGTGTCAAGAGCAATGTAATCTGTATAAGATTAAATGAATGCAAAATGATGAAAGAGGTACGAAAAAATATAAATATTTTAACTTATGAAATATATATATATTTTTTTTTCTAGAATTTAATAAAATGGGCAATTGAATAAGGGGCTTTGTTAATTGTGAAAATTAATTCATTTTTTTTATTTTTATTTGAACAAGTGAAGTCAACCGAGATCAATGTTCGGTACCTTTTATATAACATTTATTTATTTCTTTGTAACTGACAGAAAGGAGAATCTTAGTTTATGACAGTTACATATTTATATAACAGGAAAGTTTATTCATAATATTACTGTATGCATCTCATCTGTATGCATGCAAAGCACAAATTTTGACGAAAAAGTGAATGGAAAATACTAACCCAATTAGGGTCGATTTCAGAATATCATCCCATTCTTGAACCATAAAACGACGCATCTGATAAATCTTATTAATATTATTTAATTTTTAAAGATTAATTACATATAATACTAATTAAGAATTTTAAATTTTATCCAAAATTATTATAATAATACCTGGTTTTTTTTAAAAAAAAAAATAAGATAAAGTATTTATTATTTATTAATTTTTTTTTAAAAGATGTAATAAAGCATTTATTTATTTATTAAACAAATAAAAGAAAATCCAAAAAAAATATATATTAGAAAAACTATTTAGATTTCTTCAAAGATAATGAAACTTTCTTCAACTAAACTAATTATTTATCTTATTATATTTAAATTCAATTATTACAATTATTAAAAAAAAAAAATTTAATACATGACTAAAATAATAAAAAAAAATTCAAGAAAACTAGTTTACTAGTTAAAAATTTGTCATAAGTATAAAAATTAGAAATAAATTTATATGATTTATTTTAGTAATAATATATACTAAGTATTATTTTTAGGATATAAAGTTATAATCTTTTTCTTTCTTATAAGATTAAATATATAAAGCTTTTTAATAAAAGTAAGTTATAATAAATTTTCAAATAAGTATAAAGATTTAATTAAATATGAAATTATAAAGATATAATCATATTTATTTTTAAAGGATATAAAGGATATTTATTTTAGAATAATTTTAATTATAAATCTTTTTTAAATAAATTAATATAATTAATATATGATATTTTAAATATAAATAATTCAATTTTATAATAATAATATTATTTTTTCATTAATAAATAATAAATAAAAAGTTTTAAATTATATATAATTTATTTATTTTAGATAGATATTAACTAGCTTATTTAATATAATATAATCTAGTAATACTTTTATTAGTATTTTAATAAATTATTAAATAATTATCTTATTATAATTTAAAAATTCTATATAATTTTATTATAGTTAAGAGAATTCTTTTTCTATTTATAAAAAGTAACTATATAATAAATAAAAAATAATAAATAATATAAATAAAAAAATAAAAATTATTACTATTATATGATTATATTATTTATTTTATTTTTATATAATAATAATCAATTAATAATTTATTAATAAGATTATAAAATTTATTTTTATTTAAATATCTATTATTTAAATTTTTTGATTATTAATAATTATAATACTATCTAAATACAATTAGTTAAATTATAATAAAATTTATAATAAATTTGATAAAACTTAGAGTTAAAAATAATAGATTTTAATATATTTTAATAAATTTATATATTTATAATATGCTTTTTATATTTAATAGATTTTAATAAATCTAATTTATTGAATTATTTAAGTTTAGGCTGGAAAAAAATTTTTTTTTAACTTTTTGCTCATGTAATTTACTATTGTTTACTTTTTTTCTTCAAAAAGATCTTCTATAAAACTAAACTATATAAAGAACCTTTAGATATATCAGTATCAGTGATAAGAATTTTATGCAAATTGCATAAAATCGCATAAATTATATAATAAAATTGGTAAGATATAATTAGCTTGATTTATCACAGAATATCACATAAAAGTTATTATTATTAAGTAAGTATTGCATAATTACATTGATAATCTTTTTTTTATATATAACTTAAATTAAATCTTTTTTTAGAAGTAATCTAAAATGTGAAAGAGCTGAGAAAAAATAATAGTATTTACTTAATAAAAAGAATGTCTTAACAAATTTCGTGTTAATAATGAAATTCTTTTTTGTATTTTTTTGTGGCTATTTTATTAAATAGAATTTTAAATCAATAATAGATAATTATTGTAATAGTAAAGTATATTTAATAAACAAAAACTTTACGAAAACAAAAGGTATAAGAATTTTTAACAAACTTTTTAAACTTCACTTTTAGCAAATAAAAAAATTAAGAAAGTAATTGAAGATTTAATTGAAGCATTTGCTAATGTTGATATTTCTTTAGAAAAAATCAACAACTTATTATTATTTTTTAAAAAATATTTGCATAAAAAAGAAGCTATTCTACAAGCTGCAATACTATGACTACTTTATTTATCTCAAGTTTATACAAGATATTTTTGAAAATTTAATTTCAATTTTTATAGGAAATCCTGTAGCTATTATAACAGATGAAACTACAAATAATTGTGTTAGAAGAATAAATACACTTTTTTCTTACAATAACTATACAAAATTAATTTCAGTTGATTTTTTAATCCAAGTTAATAATAATATAACAATTGTCAAAATTATGTCAATATTATTACAACCTTTCAAATTCCTTTATCTTCTTCTTGGATTCTTTGTTACTAATTTTGCTTTATATATAAAGAAATGTTTAGAGAAGTTTTAAAGCCTTGAATGCCATAATTTATTTATATTCCATATTATACATATATTATAAATTTAATTAGGCAAGTAAAAATTTAATACTTTATATTTATATATATATTTAATTAATAATATTATTTTTATATTTAGTGATACATGAAGAATATTTCCTTATTTTGAACTTATTAAAACCTTATTTTAAAAAATTAATCATTATTTTGTTCACTCTCCTGCTCACAAAATATATATTTAAATTATTTGAGATTAAATAGAATTATATCACCTAGAAAAATTCCTTTTCTAGTAAAAACTCATTGGAATACTTGGTTTGAGATAGTTTTTATATAAAAGAATATCTTCAATATTGGAAGGATTTTTTTAATGTAGTATTTTTTTTAGAATCAAAAATGAAATCCTTAAAGTAATTACTATCCTTCTTAATTCTCAAACTAAATATAGACTTATTCAAATTTATATTTCTTTTATTACAATATTTGCAAAACAATTTGTTCAAGACCTTGATTTTTTCAAATACAAAACAAACCTGTTTTTCCTTATGTTAAAAATAAACTTACCAATTTAACTGCTTATATTAAAAACAATCAGACTGATTTTTTTGGTAATAAATTAGAAGTTCAAATTCAATTACTTGGTTTTAATCCAAATAATTTTTATTCAATTTTTCATGATACTTTTGAAAGTTATTATGCCAAATTTTCTGTTCACATTCTCTAACACTAGACTAGCCTTTTTTAAAATATGTCAAATTTTTAATCCTTCTTTTTTTTACTTCACCCAACTTAAGAAAAAATATTTGCTATTATAATGTAATTATTGAATTACAAAACCCAAGTAATGAATTAATTATAGAGTGAAAAATAGTATTTCTTTAGTAGAAACTGATCTAGATGCATATTGGTTAGAATTAGAATAAAATTTACTATTACTTTCAAAAATTGCTTTGGATTATACAGTGTGAGACAAAAAAAAACTGGAAATTTTTCTGTGAAATATAAGCATACATATCTCAGCCAAATTAAGATCAATCTGAATAATGTAAAATCGAATATAATTGTTAGGTAAGTGAATATATTTTTTCTTTATTTTAATACTACTAACAATAGAACTTTACATTTTTTCCTTCTCCTACTATCTTCAATTTTTAAAATCCTTTAAAATCGTATTAATTAGAAATGATGACTTTCAAACAAGAAACCAATCATCAAGTCATTCTACAATTATTAGGGTTGGTAAAAGTCCTAATTGGTCCTAATTGGTCCTGATTAATTTTAAAAAAAATTATTAGTTTTAAAGATCAAATTTTTTAAATATTATTATTATATTCAATTTTTTAATTAAAGTTACTTATTAAAATAAGTTTAAATTTCTTTTTAAAA